ATTTAGCTATTCCAATACAAGTTTCCGCAAAGGTATTTTTTAATAATAATTGCTGCAATAATTATATATAATCAAGATATGTCAACATGTTATTATATTGAATAGGTGTCTTGGGGGTACCTGCAAATTGCTGCAAAATGCACGAACAAAGCGCAGGAGTACTTTTGACAACCAAGGAATGCAATATGTAATGACAAGAAGGATTCATAAACAATGCAATAATTTAAGGAATAAGTCGTACAAAAAGTCTCCAAAGGTCTACTATTTTTGGAGACTAATATTTATTTTGCCATGTCCTCAAACATTGAGAAAGTTGCATTCAGAGATACAAGTGTATAGCGGTATTTATGAGTGTCTATTTAAAACATTAGATTCAGCTATTTCTTTTAAAAAGTATTAGTAGCAGATACTGTGTTTTGATGTTTGATGAAATACCATTATCTTCGGAATTGTTATATGATTGGATTGAATCTCATATTGTTGAAGTTATTCAAAAACAGTTATTCAGCTAGTATGGTTTAATTTAAATGTTCATCAACGTAAGTTCATTGTTATATTTAATAAGATTATCTATTACATTAGCAAATGTAAACACTTATAAAGTAAACTAGTATTGGTTTAAATGTTCATCAACGTAAGTTCATTGTTATATTTAATAAGATTATCTATTACATTAGCAAATGTAAACACTTATAAAGAGAGTCTATACCATACATAATATTTTAATGTATTTTGATTGAAGATTAGTGTTATAATATTCTTCAAATAAAACTTGTGTAACATCCCAATATAATGTTTAAATTCAAGATATATTTGTTACCGACCTTGGGAATCAAAAATATTGCTTTTATCTTTTGATTCATAAACAATTGTATGTGCATAAAACATTATTCTGTTCATTGTAAACACTTTGTTGATCTTTTATGGCAGTTTCAATGATAATGTTTTCATGATGGAACATGGCTAAATGTAATGTTATAAAACACTCGTACAGAAACTATTCAAAGGTTTTGTTAAATGCAACTTTACTATTAATTCATTAGATAGCGATGTATACGATACGTACAAATTAAGAAGTAAAACCAGGGGTAATTTAAATATTATACATGTGCTGCCATCTATTTTTAAAAATTTGTATTCCAATCGAGGTAACGTCAAACCGCCAGACATAGCGATCTATTATACTTGTTTATCTATGCTTTGTATCTTCGAAACGGCTGGACCAACCTTAGCGAAAAACTAATCAGAATCAATGAGAATCGAACATACATACTCACATACACATTTTGAGTTATACCAAAATGTTCAGAAGGTCTTGGAACGTAAAGATAAGAAAAAAATATCATTTTCGATTCATTTGCGATTAATATAACTTACTCTAAACAAAGTTAAAAATTACATCTAAATAATTAAAAAAGAAAGTTTAATTAAAAAAAATAAAATATTGTCTATTAAAAAGGGCGCCTGAACGGATAGGGCCTAGGGCGGCAGAGAGCTTAATCCGAGACAACCTTCCGCTAAAAGAGTTTTAACTTTCTTGGTTAGTAACTTAAGTTTTTAAATTTACTTCTGATAAATTATCTACATCTGAGATTATGTCATCTACATAACAATCATATTGTAATTTTTTTTATGATATTCAGAATGAGGTTTCATATATTCATTGAACTTTTCCTGGAGATTTTTGTAGTCATAATCAAGTCTATCGTTAAATTCTATGCGATCTTAAATTTGTTTATTTTTCAATTCGAGTTCTTTTTCTATTTCAATCATTTTTTTCATTAACGTTTTCATTTGCAGAATTATTTTTATAATCATGTAATTTTCTCTCTAATACACTGAATCGTTCTTTAAAACATATGTGCATTTCAAAAAGATTTTTTATATTTTTATCTCTTACCTTAATTTCAAATTTATTTAAGTTCTTCGATTTCATTTTGAAGTCTACTTTTTCCTTAGCTCACAAAATGTTGTATATATAGTATGTAAAATCTTAATTTCTACTATTATAGCGATAAAGTGGATTACATCAATATGAAACAAGAAAATGTATGCGTACTATCAGGCTATGTCGTTGGTAAGTTTTTTAATTATCCTTATGTTAGTACGCCAGGTAAACATCTGCCGTAATAAATATAAGCTTTTGATACTACTTATAGGGAATAAAATATGTCAATGGCAGACATCGTCATTCACATTATTTTTTGGAAAATCGTCTGAAACTTGAAAAACTTAACATAGTGGTTAACCGCGTGATAATAGTCTGCCATTGGCATTTTCCGATAGTAATTATATTATATTTTCAAATGTTTTATAAATATTTTCAAATTAGTAATTATATTATATTTTCAAATATTTTTTGGAAAATCGTCTGCCACTATGTTAACCGCGTGATAATAGTCTGCCATTGGCATTTTCCGATAGTAATTATATTATATTTTCAAATTGAAAAAAAAAAAAATTTTGAAAAAACAAATGTTTTCTTTATTTTGACATATTTTGGAAATTCTGAACTTTTTTCGAAGCAATCGTACAGCTTTAACTGCATAGAGACGAAATGTCAAAGCGCCGCGTCGCCGTCTAACCGATGAACATTGGTACTGAACCCATAGGAATGTAAATAAAATTTCTACATATTGTTAAAGTCTCTATAAAATATCTGGTAATTTGATGTGCATATGTCTAATGATCATTTTTTACCGCCAAATGGCATTTTTTTTACTTTTTTCACTAGATCTCCGAAACCGCTAGACCTGCCTTCATGAAGATTTGATCAATTATTCATCTTATCAATACAAGTAAAATGTTTTTTAAATTATTAAAATCGGACGCTCCGTTCTCTTAAAAACCGAGTTACCATTTTTGGCACTTTTTGCCCCGTATCTTCAGAACGGCTAGACCTGCCTTCGCCAAAAACTAATCAGCACGTCTCCTTATCAATATGAATCGAATGTTTTTTGAATTATTCAATTCGGTTGATCGATGTTCACGAAATTGTCAACGAAAATTTGTATCCGCACACACACACACGCACAGACACACACACACATACATCCATTTTTTCTAAGATATGCCAAAATATTCAGAAACCCTCAAAACGTCGAGAAATGCAAAAATTTTCATTTTCGATTTTTTTGCGATTACTATAACTTGCCCTACGGGAAGTTAATTAGTGAAAAGGGTACCTTCATCAGCTGCGCAATAGCTGTGTCCGCCGCTTTGGGCCTAATCAGTCTCCATTTCCTGTAAGGTATAAAGGCTTCAATGCACAAAAACTCAGGACTCGTAAATTGCATACTGTCATCCCTAGATAAATAAGAATTGCTGTCATCCGCCAACGGGCTCTTGACTATGACGAGTTTAGTAGCAAAATGATTTGTTATGTTTATATTATTAAGGCTTGGCAACAAATGACCTACAAAAATAAAGGAATTCCTTCCAAATGATATATCAAAACATATGCATTTTGGACTCAGTCAGGTATCGATCATGTTGCATTAAATTACTCTACAAATTAAAAAAGATAAAATTTCAGTTCTGAAAGTTTGTATTATATTAATTAATACTATAGTAACATATGAATTAACATTGTTTAAACAATGTGATAAAGCATTGTAAAATATAAGTAACTAATGGTTATTTTATACGAGTTTTGAAGAATAAACTGGCAGAATTTGCTATAAATTCATCGAAGAGTGGATAGTAATATAAAAAGGTCCGGGGGTAAAATGGTCCAAGTGACGAGCATAGCTCTTTGGTAGCGTGTTCGATTCACACGACAGGAGTCTTCGGATCAAATCCTATCAATGACATAGAATTTATGAAAAAATAATATGTGTAGTTAATTTGAAATCAAATAAAAATTGTATTTGTTAAATAGAACTTGAATAAAAATTAAGAAATATAGGTATAACAGAATTCGAACAGTTGAATTGATTTAGGAGTAAGAAGAGGAATATTGGAACTTGAAAGAAGAATGAAAAAAAAAAATGGTATGAAGCTGAAAGTTAAATAGAATTAGAAATTTGAAAAAGAACAAGAATTGAAGAAAATAAGAAGAAGAAGAAATATTAAGAAGAATATAGAGTAGGATACATAAAATAGATTGAAAATGATATAAAAATTAGAATTGTAACTAAAATAAAAAATGTTGTAGGTGGCTAAATGCTCAGAGTAAGCGAGGCCAAATAAAAAAAAAAAAAAATGGTCCACCACCGACATCTCCTACGAGAAGTTAATAAATAAAATATTAAAAAGACAGTTTATATTTTATTTATTAACTTCTCGTAGGGTAAGTTATAAAAATCAAAAAATCGAAAATGAATTTTTTTTACGTTTCAGCGGTTTTTGAATATTTTGACATACGTTAGCAAAAATGGATGTATGTGTGTGTAATTTTCGTCAATGATTTGTGGAGGACGGATCAACCGATTTGAATAATTCAAAAACATTTGATTCGAATGGATAAGGAAGCGTGCTGATTGTTTTTTATTAGAAAAGGAGCCAAAAATGATAATTCAGTTGTTGAGAGAATGAAGTGTCCGATTTGAATAATTCAAAAAACATTTTAAGTTTATTTAAGTTTTGTAATCTTTGAAAGAGGTTTAGTCAAATTTTTCATCAAACATCATAATCAAGTCAATCCGAAGAGCAAAAACTGCAAATGCACCTGGCGCCCAGTAAACACGCGATGTGATCTTCTATAATATCGACATCGTTATTATAATGCGGTTATCGAATCTACGCCACAAGAGGATTTTAAACTTGCGTGCGCTTGTGTGTGTTACAATACACGCAAAGCTCGCATTGAGTTGTCTCACGAGACATAAACACGCGCTGTCGGGGGTAATGACATCGTTGAATTTCATGTGAGATACATGTCGTGCGCTGGTGTGTGTTAGCACACATGCAAAGCATAATCAATGACGTCACACGGCGTGAAGCAAACGCGTCGTGCGCTGCGTTGTGTGCTGGTGTGTGTGACCATACAAAGAAAGCTTTACATCAGCGCGCCGTGGCCACTGGTGGAACCGACTGTTTCTTTGACGAAAGCTAACCTAACCCGCGTACAAAATGGCGCAAAATGTCACGAATTTATCATGCATCAAGTTATATTTTCTTTAGTATAATAATTACATTCGTTTAGTTAAGCAACTTGTTTATGATAATTGTAGAAAAGTGTAGAAAAATGACACTGTAAGTATATCATATATTATTTATATAGATATGTAATTACTTCACGATTTTGAATTCCATTTAGTGCATTATATCCTGGGATGAAGAAACGTTATTTTATGTCGATTTCTTTAGATGACAAAGGAGGTAACCAAATAGCATATCTTACAAAATCTGAGGACAATAATAAGGATCGTTTATCAAGGTTAAAATAATTATTTTACTAAATTAAGACATTAACATATCCATGTGTTCGACATAACCTCACTTCTTAAATCTCTTAAATTAGTCGGTTGAGAAACGGATCGTGAATGATTGTTTGAATATGTAAGTCACTACAAATATAATAGCTATACAAATATATATAAACAGCAAACACGTATGCCATGTTCATATTTATTTCAGAAGTCGTACAAAATTGGAATGAAACGATGAACAATATACAGATCTTTAGATAGGCTCAAATAATGTATGTTTAGGAGCAACTTGAAGATAATGGAGATTTATCTTCTTAATATGTAAGTTGATTCATATATAGTTGCTGTATATATATTATTTGGTAACAAATACATTATATTTATAATTGTTTTAGAAAACCTCTAAAATTGGGAACAGTATGTCATATATGCATGAACTTGATTGATGTATTGATGTATAATGAACTGAAGATATAATGAATTCAATCAGGTTAAAAAAAATGTATGTGCAAAAGCGACTCGAAGACGATTTAGATTTGTCTCCTGAATATGTAAGTTGCTACACATATGAAGTGGTATATATATTATTAGATTCAATAAAACACATTATGTTTCAAATTGTTTTAGAAAACTTCCAAGAAGTACATCATATATGAATATCCTGTATCCTCGCATTTGATGTATTGAACTGGCGATAGAATGAAATCAGTCAGTGTTAAAAATGTATGTGTAAAAGCGACTTTAAGATGATGGAGATTTGTACACTGAACATGTAGGTAGCTACACATATGGTAGCTGTATATATATATATTATATTATATACAGTAAATCACATTATGTTTGAATTTGTTTTAGAAAACTTCCAAAATTTGGGGCAGTATGTCATATGTGCATAATCTGTATCCTGGCATTTGATGCAATGAACTGGCGATAGAATGAAATAATGAAAAATAGGCAGGCTGGTTTGATGTATAAGGAAGTGGCGATAGAATACTTATGCAACACTTCACACTTCACGCCTCAAAAATAGAATTACGTTCATTAGATATACAACAATTTTCATTAAATATACTGTTATTAATATGTTAAGATTGAATAATTTGTAAAAAGTTTTCTAGTATAGTTCATGTTAAAATTTTATAATTTCAAAACTACAATTCTAATTTGTAATATTTAAATATTGTAAAATTTCTTATTATTCACGTAAATAAATGCTTATTCGTACAGAAAAGAATATTAATTGCATTACGTCATCACTTTCAGGTGCTATTACGTCATAACTGAGTCGCCATTTTGTATGACGTCATGACCGAATCGTTTTCATTCGCCAATGACGTCATGACTGGGGTGAACGCCTTACGTCAGACGGTCTTATCATAATAAACAAACATATGTGGGTCAACGTCGATTTTCATGTATCACGAACGCCACGTGCGCCAGAGACCGAACCTCGATAGTTGTTCGATAGTTACATAAATTTGCGGCCGTATCCATTAAATATCGAGGAAAATGAATATGGGAACCGCATGTCACACGACCTAAATAAAATATTGCCACGATGTTGTGGCCATATCGCATGTTTACTGGGCGTTGACAACTTTAATATTAACATACTTAAAGAACTTCCCTACAAAACCTGCCGTTTTATAACAATCCTGTTCAATGGTATAATAAGACTTGAATCATATCCTAATCAATGAAAAATTGCTAAAATCATAATTTTTCCGAAACCTGGAAAAAATCCAAATAAAGTTCAAGGTTACAGACCGATTCGTTTACCTCCAAAGGTGTCTGAGAGCTGAGTCTGAGACTGAGAGCACTACCTTGCGGTACACCGGAATGAATTGGTATTGGAGAGGAGAGTTCTTCATTTTATTTAATTTGAAAAGTTCTATAGTAAAAGTTCTAGATAAGTATGATTCCAAAATCGTGAAATATTTTCTTTAATTTATATAATATTCCCACATGCCAAACTTTGTCAAAGGCCTGGCCGATGTCAAAAAAAATTGCTACACCAAATTCTTTTTTATTTAGGGCAGTGAGGATTGAGTTGGTTATTCTGTTGCATTGCTGAATTGTTGAATGATATCTTCTAAAACCAATTTGTTGGTTAGCTATCCAGGTTTCTTCGGGATGATCTTCTAATAGTCTTTGTAAAATAAATCTTTCGAATACTTTTGATAGGGATGTAAGAAGGCTTATAGGTCTATATGATTTTACGGCAGATGAATCTTTATTTGGTTTTGGAATCATGATTTTTGCATTCTTCTAAACAGATGGCCAGTAGTTAAATTGAATAATGGGGTTGAAAATGGTTGTGATAATTAAGAATCGATTAAAAAAGATTTAAAAAAACTCGAACGTTGTGCAATGAGCGACAAGAATAAGCATACCGGAAAAAATAAATAGTGAGTTAATCGTATCAGCAAATGCAACCCAAAAAGTTGGAAAACCCAGTGTAAAAAAATTTGACAATTCTGTAATGTGATACAGCTAACTTCAGGCAGCATCTCAACATCATGTTTTCCCTGGGTTTAGATACTCTTTATGTCTTTAATGATGTGTAACGTTACTACAAAACCTTATTTGAATTCTCAAATAATTTTGAAGTTCATAAATTAGATCAAATTTTATAACTGTGTGAAAAAGAAGTTATTTTATGACAATTGCATATCCAAGCAAGAAAATAATAATATTTATAAATAATGAGATTTTAAGAATTTATGGTTGATACTTCACACATATTACAAAATAATATAGTAATATCACTACAAGTGCTTTCTTTATTACAGTTTTGATTTGAGTTTTAGTCAATTAAACACATATTGCTTATTGTAATAATATATTTCTATTCAGCAATATTGAGGACATGGATAGCTGAATCTATTTAGTGGTTGATAATATGTTAAATTCTCTCGTTGCCATTCTCGCGCGCGCGCGCACACACACATACATGCATACATACATACATACATACACACACACACACACACATATATACCTACACTTGTAAATATATATATATATATATATATATATATATATATATATATAATACATATATATGTGCTTATACATATGCATATACACTCACACATATATACCTACACTTGTAAATATATATATATATATATATATATATATATATATATATATATATATATATATATGGACATACATGCATGCCCATACATCCATATGGCATTGGAGCAAGAAAAGTATTATATATTTTACTACAATTTCAATATTTAAGTGGATATTCAATGAATTCTAATTATATGAACTAAATATAAAGAAAAAATATGAGGACTGTAATAGGCAAAAATTAATACTCAAAAAATTATTGGGTATTAACTAATAAAAAGTAATATAAATAGAAAAAAAGTTCAAATAAAACAAAATACATTACATGGATTCTGAGGATGAAATGACACAATCGAAAATATACAGGAAAACTCACTATGACAATGCAATATAAACTAGCTTGATATTGAATATTGGTACTCTTTCACAAGTATTGATTATAGGATAAAAAATCATTAAACTCGTATGAATTTCAGAGAATTTTTTGTAAGCTGCAAACCGTGAGAACTGTGGATACTACACCGAATCATTTGAAGTAGGGCAGATGTTAAAAGTTTGACAGATAAGAAAAAAATTAATGTTTGATTTGAAGATTTTCAAAATATGCACATATATCCATTTGATTAGAGACATTCACAAGCACCAACATTTCCAATGCCACATAGCACATGAAATAAATGTAGAAACTTATTTCGCAATAAATAATTGTTCAAATTTAATAAATTCTTGATGTTATTATGAAGCATTCCAAAAAGAAAAGTGGTATGAAGGTTAAAATAAGTAGAATTAAGCACATTGTAATGAATTATGAAAGTAACCGACAAAGAAGCATCTTTTCATTTGGATGTTTAAAGCCACAAGATATATGTATCGTAGGTTACAGCTTGACTTGCACCTGAAAAAAATCTCAATCTGTTAATTTTTATAGATACTAATTCATTACATATATATATATATATATATATATATATGGTGTGTGTGTGTGTGTGTGTGTCCTTATTAAGTTGAAAACTCGAAGTAAATACATCTGTACAAGAGAATAAATGTTAACACAAAATTTTGACATTGCAAAATGTATAAATAACTTTAGTGCCACATCTGCTTTTCTTTAGTGGACATGCAAAGATTATATGTCATCTGCAACACCTGTAATTACTTTGCTATCTTCTGTGCATAAGTTTTCAAACTTTTCATATTTGATTATTCTCTTCAAAAAGATGCAAACCCATTACATCCTCTCATCTGGTTGTGTAAAAACAAAAGTATGTAAATAATCTTACATATACTTTTTTCACATAATTGTCCAAAATAAACTGAACTTTGTCAAGTCTTCATGTTGCATTATTTGAATAATCAATAAGCTAGTCAATCCTTATTAAGTTATTGTATCCACTCAATTGCATTCACTTAAAATTTGCTTTATATCACATTCTCAAATTAATATCTTTCATAAAAATCTTTGTGGCAATTAGAGAATTTAGTTGAACCATTAAAATTGCTTATTTTCTAAAATCTTCAAATGGAGCTTTGGCGCCATATTGTTTCATATCAGAGTAAGTATTCTAAAAAGAACTACTGAAGGTCGATCTGAAAGGAATATTGCGATTTCTGAATGGCTTATTCCCACGTCCTCCGCGTCCTCGGAATGAATTTGAAGGCACTGCAATTAAAATACACAGATTTATTAATTTCCTGTAGTAATATGTAATAATGAGGCGATGTACTAATAAGTTTTTGGCAAAGGTAGGTCTTAAGCGTTTCGAAAATACAGGACAAAAAGTGCCAAAAATCGTTATTCAGTTTTTGAGAGAATCAAGCGTCCAATTAAAATGATTTTATTTGTATTGGCGAAACGCAGAACTGATTAAATGGTGTTTTTTATGTATTGCCCCCTTTGACGGTTGTAGACTGTTAGTGATTACGCATAGAACTTATATAATTCAATTTGACAGGTTATTTTTTGTGATTTATAGCATAAGATCTACGTATTGGAAATTGAGGTCTTTTAAAGGGTATAACAAATTCAGAAAGCATTAATATATAGCATTCGCGGTATAGGTACAATATCACCTTGAATTTTATACCCAAAATAATTGCTTCAATAATGTTACCTATAATTTTTATAATTTCGTACCATATTTTAACTGGCTTTTAGTAATTTTAATATCTAAATTAGATTTTTCTCACTAACAATTGAATATACATTATTACTTAAGTTCATATTTGAAGTGAATTAATTTGTCGAATCCTGTTCACATGTGCTCTATTCAACCTACGATCAACAAAAATGGAGAGGAAAAAAGCGTGTGCCCAGCGATTTTTTTTACTGTGCTCCAATTTTCTTGATATTTTGGAAATGGGCTAATCTTAATCTTAAGTTCGGAAGTGAAAACAATTTGCACTCCTTCACCACCCCCGGCATTAATTAGATTACAATTCTTTTAATTTTATCAGAACTTGTAATATACTATTTTAAAGGTAATTAAATGACTTACAACTTTCTCTATCATAAATTTTACCGTAACTTCTCTTATTTTGAACGGCGAAGAGTTAAAGGGCTCGAAAGACATTCTGGTTTGCAGCCGCGCACTCTAAACAATTACAACTCTATCAATATTTGTGTAACAAAACAATAATAAAAAGCAATAATTAGTCAGAAAAAGACATTGAATTTCAGAGATATAATAATGAGGAATCTGTTGTTTTCTTCATGGATTTTTTTTCACGAAATCATGAGTTTTTTGAAAATCGTTTGCACTAAAGTTATGGCATTTTCTAGAATCCATCAAGATCTCTTAAACCAAGTTAATTCTAGATGGAATACTATTATTTTTAATTTTGGTGGAAATGGTACTCATAAACTGATTTGTTTTTAATGAAAAAAAAACATTGTATGT